TCCTGGATGGCTCTGAGCTGGCCCCTAGCTGACCCCTAGCTTGCTCCTAGATGGCTTCTAGATGGCTCCTGGATGGCTCCGAGCTGGCTCCTGGATGGCTCTGAGCTGGCCCCTAGCTGACCCCTAGCTTGGTCCTAGATGGCTTCTAGATGGCTCCTGGATGGCTCCAAGCTGGCCCCTAGCTGACCCCTAGCTGGCCCCTAGCTGGCCCCTAGCTGGCCCCTAGCTGGCTCCAAGCTGGCCCCTAGCTGACCCCTAGCTTGCTCCTAGATGGCTTCTAGATGGCTCCTGGATGGCTCTGAGATGGCCCCTAGCTGGCCCCTAGCTGGCCCCTAGCTGGCTCCTAGCTGGCCCCTAGCTTGCTCCGAGCTGGCTCCTAGCTGGCCCCTAGCTGACACCTAGCTGGCCCCTAGCTGGCTCCTAGCTGGCCCCTAGATGGCTCCTAGCTGGCCCCTAGCTGGCCCCTAGCTGGCTCCTAGCTGGCCCCTAGCTTGCTCCGAGCTGACCCCTAGCTGGCTCCTAGCTGGCTCCTAGTTGGCCCCTAGCTGGCTCCTAGCTGGCCCCTAGCTTGCTCCGAGCTGACCCCTAGCTGGCTCCTAGATGGCTCCTAGCTGGCCCCTAGCTGGCTCCTAGCTGGCCCCTAGGTGGCCCCTAGCTAGCTCCTAGCTGGCCCCTAGCTGGCTCCTAGCTGGCCCTTAGCTGACACCTTGCTGGCTCCTAGCTGGCTCCTAGCTGGCTCCTAGCTGGCCCCTAGCTGGCTCCTAGCTGGCTCCTAGCTGGCTCCTAGCTGACCCCTAGCTGGCTCCTAGCTGGCTCCTAGCTGGCTCCTAGCTGGCTCCTAGCTGGCCCCTAGCTGGCTCCTAGTTGGCCCCTCCATCTTTCAGATGGTCAGCTGATTGCTTCTGTTCTGTCAACCTTAAGAGGGAGAAGAGTTTTTCTAGAAGCCATTTTTTATTTCGGGGCCCGGTCCTAGCTCGCATCAGGCTGGATGGATCCACAGTTTACCGTCCTGCTGAGGGCCCGGCTGAACGTTTGAGTCTGGGGCCATTCTTCCTCTCCTTGGTGCTGAAGCAGCAGTGGGATCCGGGCCTCACCACTAACGTTGGTCCGTTTTTTGTTTTGTTTTTCCTTTCCAACAGCGCCACCAGAGGGCGCCGCTCTTCATTCTTAATCAGAGCCTTACTGATATTTTTACAATGGCAGTAACTTTAGAGCAGAACCAAATCTGGATTATTTCCTCCGTTTAATGGATCCAAGGATCCAGAATGAACTCCCTGAGGTTCTGATAGTGAATCTAAGTCCAGATAAACTAAATGGACCCAGTTAGCGGCGCTGAGGGAGCAGCAGAAGGAGAGGATGATGGAAAATTAGAACAGGATAGAAGAAGACATGCTAGCAGTTAGCATTGAAGCTTTATGAGGTCATGACCTTCATGGATCCAACTTCTAACATTCCTCTGAGAGGAACCAGAACCAGAACCGCCTGTTTAAAAGCTCTGCTAGCAAAACCAAGTCTCCCTGCTCTGATTGGTGGATTAGACTGAAACAGAGAGCTAGCTCACAGTTAGCGTCCGCTTGAAACGAAGGAAAATAGACTGATGCTAAGTTATGCGGCCGACACATTCGTCCTTCTTTTTGCCCGTTCTAAAGGTCGGTGTAGGTGTCACTACCCGATCCGTCCCGGAAACACGATCCGTTCTGCGCATCCAGATATACATCCGGGTCGCCCTTGATTTTATTTTAATAATACCTAAATCATGTTTTCCCTCCCCTAAAATAGTAACCGTACTAAAATATGAAGTATTAAACGTTAAGAATGTATTTCCTGACAAAAAGAAAAGCCTTAAAATCCTTTCTGTTCATCACTCGTCTCTTCCCGGATCTGAACCGAAAATGGGATGCTAGGCTACTTCCGGTCGCTAACTTTTTCAGCTTTGGATTTAAACATAAATCTAGTCTTTTTGAGTTTAATGTTTTCGTTTTAACCTCATGCTATATAGTGCGTAATCTAAAGAAAGAAACAACTAAAAAGCAGTGTGGAGGTGCCATATGATGACATCATAAGAAAGGGCGGGGCTCTGAGCGGATTTGGTACCTACACCGGTCTATCTGGATGCAGACACTGAAATCAGACACGCCCTGACAGTGTGTCAGAGCGACATACCCTGTCTGTTAATGATAGATCTATAGCTGCTGGGAATCACATGAGTTTCACAGATTTAATTCATATTTTTATTCAGGCCTAATCTCCTGTTTTGTTGTCTTATTTATTCAGTATGTAATGGAGGTGGCTGAATAAACGGTAACACATAAAGATGGACGATCATCTTTTTCAGTTTATTTATGACTTTCATGTTAGAGAGAACAGAGGTTTTAAGAAAAATGCCGCTTATCGGTTTAATCACTAATCGACTTTTACGATCATTTGACTTTAGATCAATTTATTAATCGGTTATTTTCATCTTTTCTGTAAATAGTAAATATTTAGACTGGAACATCTTTATCCTTTCTAGCGTGTAGCAATTACTACAGAAAATGTCGTTTTTATACGTTTATGTTCTGCCTAAATTCATATTATGTTATTCATTCGTTTTTATTTAGTTTTATTGTTTTTAAATAACAGAATTTTTAAATATTAACCTACAAAAATGATCTAAAACTAAGTAAAAACTTTTTTTTTAATTAATTTATTTGCTTTAAATTTAAGCAAATGAAAAATAAAATCAGCCAATGCAACAAAACTTTTTAAATGAGATATTATGCTCTTAAAACAAGATAATGGATTTTGTTCTCATTTTAAATGTAAATTATCTTATTTTGTTGACAAATTGTCTTACCTGTTGTAAAAGGAAAATATGCTCATTCTTTGTCAAACTTAACTTTTATTTACTCGACTTATTAGATGAGCACTTTTACACCAGAGGAAAAAAAAAACATTTAATGTTCAGCCGATAAAAAATATAAAGGGATTTCATCATCATATCATTTTTAGACAAATTTATATTTTAATTAAATGTAATACATGATTTTAATGATTTAATCGTGTATTTTATAACAGTATATTTAATATTTCCATCATGTATTAGATGAGTGTTATTTTTTTTTATTGATCCTATTGATGTGTTTTTCTATAAATCGATGTATAACTCAGGGATTACGTCGCAATGATTGATAAAAACAGGGTGGGCCATAATCATAACCCCCCCAGCTTTGGGACCGTCCCCCCGCCTGCTGTCATGGTTGGTTATTAATGATCAACATTAAAGACTCATTAAAAGT